TGCCCCTTCACACAGGTTGCAAGCCTCTTGAATGTCATCACAAATGATAGTCCTGAAAACAATTGAGTTTTTGAATTTCTTAACTACTCTCTGCTCAATCTCAGCAATGTCAGCTTCCTTCTCATATCTTAGCTTCTAGGCCTCCTTCTCTAGGGTTGACACCCTCAACCATAGAGCTTTCACACACTTGTTACTCTAAATGAGGCCAACTCGTGCCTCCACTAACTCTTCTCAGGTGCGCTCTAGGTCATGATGCTGCAGCAAGAGTAAAGTCGCCATCGTAGGAAAATTTGTCTTGCACCTTGTCAGCTAAAATTATAAGGTCATGGCTGCTTCAACTCTAGAATCATACCATTGCTTGTATTTATTATGGAGGAACTTGGTCTCAACGAACTTAGAGTTTCAGCCTCTCGGAGCAAGCTCAAGCTCTATATGGAGTTATGTCATCTTATCCATAAAGAAAAATAATTTAGTATCAAACAGATGAAAATAGGCAATAATAAAAGAAAAAAAAAGAAAGAGACTCGTGAAGTCCCCAGCCTCTCAAAACCCACTGCACACATGAGCCAACACGTTCTTTAGGATATGACTCCTCGAAGAACTAATCAAAGGCTTTCTCTCCTCTTTGCTCCTTTTACGCTGCTTTTGAGGATGTATCTCACAATCAATGCCTGATATTTTTTCCAGCTTCATAATAGAACATGTCAAAAGGAAGGAAAATCAAGTCACCAACCTCCTATCTTGAAGCTTCCATCTAAGAAAAGGTCTACCAAACAAACTCGATTGAACCTAAATCGAAAAGGCACTGACAATGGAGATACATCAGGAGAAAAAGAAAAGCTTGATGAACTCATATAAATGGTACCTGAATACAAGGGAAATTAGAGGAAAAATCACAGATCGAAGGTGATTCAAGTAAAAGACCGCTCAATACTTGTTAATTAAAGGGAAACTCTTCAAAAAGTCGATCACATTGTTATACTTAAAATGTATTAGGAAGGATGAGCTTGAAGGTATATTCTGAGAAGTTCATGAAGGGGAGTGTGAAAGTCACTCTGGAAAAAAGATGCAAGCTCACCAAATTCAATAATAGGGCTACTTCTGATTGAGCTCACCCAAGGACGTCGAAGAATATTCTGAAGGTGCACACAATGTCAGATGTACGGACCATTGCGCCATCAGCCGTCCCAAAAGCTTCACCTAATCATCAGTCCTTGACAGTTCTCCACAAGGGGCCTCAACATTCAGAGACCTTTCCCCCCGTCAAAAGGACAGTGGAAATTTCTACTGGTGGCGATCGAATAGTTCGATTGACCATGAGATCATCATCTTCTGACAGAAGAGCACATATGTCATTATAGCAACAATCGTGTTCGGGAGGGTCTGGGCAGGAAGAATGTCATAGAGGTTGAAGATGGAATACAGCTCTTGACGAAACAAAAGCCAAAGAACATCTTAAAATGGTCCTTGTAGAAGACAAGGGCAGAAGATAAGTCGTCTGTGGCTCATTCATGGTTGTTGGCCGGTCATAGGAGGATTGTGGGATCCAAAACACAGTGATCATGAAACTCCTCCATGTTCACCCACAGAAAAAACTGAAACCTCTGTCACAGGAATCAAACTGAACTACTCCTGAGAGTATTTCCGAACCATGAAGTCTATTATATTAGGAAGAAAATCGGGGAACGAGATATGTACACATGAAATATGTCTGCATGAATCTCAAAGCAGATGAACGGCTCAAGAATGAGACGCGGACGATCAAGTGTATTAATCGACTATTGTTTCCAGATGTGTTGTGGTGAAGAGAGAAGATCAGCGAAACGATCGACAAAAAATGCTAAAAGGAAGTCTCATACGACAGTAATCAACTTTCTTGACGATTGATGGGGAGCACTTCTTGAGATCATAGATCGACCAAACCAGGGCTTGCTAAATGATTGACGACTCTCATCGATCGAATCGACCTTGACTTTATATATGCAAATAAGTTTGTAATTACAAAAATACCACATGAAAAACTAATATGTATTTCTGTAATATTATAACATAAGCCTATAAATAAGGGTCAATATTATGAATAAGACTCTTTTTTTTATTTTGTCGGCTATTGCTCTCTCTCTCTCTCTTAATGTCTTCCTAGTAGAACGCTCTATTTTTTCTAATATGTTTCCCATATATTTTTTGATCTAACAATCAAAATATTATAAATATAAAAATTAAAATTAAAATTAAAGCGTTAGCAGTGTAAATATAAAAGAATTATATGGTATCTATGCAAATATAACAAAAGAACACTAAGGCTGCACTAATGCCAAATTAAACATATGCTTAAATAGTTAAATACATCATTAATAAAAGTAATAAAAAAAAAGTGTAGATTTAGAGAATTCCCAAACACCATAAATATTATTGATAAATACAAAAAGTGACATAAATCACATGAAAGTAGCGGCAGAGCTTTCATAACCCTTCCCTTTAATAGCAGAAAAAATATTACATTAGTACTACCCACGTAGTAGTAACGTGCATAACCAATAAAATCACGTCACAACATCCCGTGCGACAGAGAAAAAAATGACGCAGTAACACGGAGAATATTCCCCCCTGTGTTATTCATGTGTTATTGCGTGTTATTCATGTGTTATTGATGTATTATTCATGTGTTATTGATGTGTTATTGTGTTATTATAACACCAAGAATATTTTTAGGGCACAATAACACATGAATAACACACAATAACACCTGAATAGCATGAGGAATATTCGCGACAGAG